GCGCAGGCAAAGAACCCACCCAAGTGAGTGACCGAATAACAGGAGCTCGCAATTTGTTCGACGAAAGAGAAAAAGTTGTAATTTTCTTTATTTCTTGTGTTATTTGATTTTCGTTGTAACGTCATGCAACTATGTGAATATATCATTTGAAAGCAGAAGAGCATACTTTTCTAGAGTTAGAACATAGACAACTAAATCCTTCACCCGCTCAACATATCTTTTGTTAACAATATAAAATAACAGTTTCTGTGGTAGAATGAGGCTTATCATCTTTTAGACGGAACTATTTATTTTCGCGTTATCTAGAATTGACCTAATGAAGTTAGAATAACTTTTCCACCACTTCAAATTGAGATGCAAATAGATCATAATTTATAATCGTTAATACTAATATCTGGTTCACAATATATGATGTGAAATGAAGTCATAAGCACTGCGTCTTTAGTTTGTTGCGCGCCTCTGCGGAAGCGTGCACGTACACCGAACGAATCTGTGATCACGGAGAAGAAGAGAACCACACACAAGCACAATCCAATCCAAATACGACAAATTCAACCAAACACAGAGATATACATGGTTCGGCAATTTGCCTACGTTCACGGGGAGAGGATGAGAAAATTTCACTAAATCATGGAGAGTACAAAGGGTTACAATCTCACAAAACTCACAAACTAACCCTCAACCAAAGCTCTCAACTTGCTCACAATATCTCCCTCTCATAATGCTCAATTGCCTCTCAAAGTCTATGATATCTCTCGTCTTAAACCCTAGAAAATCGTGTCCCTATTTATATCCAAACAAAAATCCAAACAGAATCCAAACATGAAACCAAACTGTGCAAAAAACTCGTCGTAAGTCGACTTAACAGGCTTCCCAAGTCGACTTGACAGAGCAAGAAATCATAACTCCAGAGCAGAACATAAGTCGACTCATGCACAGACACAAGTCGACTTACCATAAGTCGACTTATGCATGTGCATGAGTCGACTTATGACAGAAAAACTGATTTTTTCTGATTTCTCCACATAGTTCGCATAGCATATAGTACGTTAGACAATTGATGCACACACAGAGCTTGTAGTGTTCTAGCTTGTTTTCAGGTCTACATAGATGGAAGCAATGTAGAAGGCTAGGCAACCTTCAAAGCAATGTAGAAGGTGTTGTGCCTCGAGAACCCAAACCAATCGCCGAGAAAAAGATAAACCACAACCAAAAATCAATAGCACAAACAATCAAACATCAGTTTTACGTGGTTCGGCAAGATGCCTACGTCCACGGGGCAAGAAGGGGGGAGTTTTCACTATTAGAAATCAAGAGGAACAAACTAGGGTTACAATCTCTCACCAAAACCCTCAACAACTCACTCTTAATCTCTCCAATTGCTCCTAGAAGAGAAGCCCAAAGAAAACCCTCACAATCTGCTCAAAACTCCTGCCTTACAAACCCTAGAATCGAGTTTGGGTATTTATAGAAAACCCAAACGAAACGGGTCTGGAAAACAGACCCAGCCCAAAACCGCTGAGACCCAAATGGGAGTGCAAACACTCACCCCAAATGTCGATGTCGCTCACCACAAATCGGCTGCATCATAACTGACTGCCTACGTATCCTCTCCAAGGAATCAAGCCTTCACGTAGTTCACTCAATGGCCTCCAAAGGCCCTCAATCCAACCTGCGGCTGATAGCATCATCAACGACCCCAATCTGAAAACAGTCCAACACCTCCACCTGAGATGAAACAATGGCCGTATCCAAAACATATCCACCAGCTGCATCCAAATCAACCACCTCATCATCTGCACCCATAAATAAATGACTTCCACGCTGTGCCACCTCAGCTGGAATCTCAACCAATGCAGAATGACCTGGAGTACGTGGGGAAATCCCCACCCAATGTGGAGTAGCATCACCCTCCACACGCTGCGATATCCCTCTGACCTGATCAATACTCTCCACCTGCCGAGAGTCCAAAGTGACAAACCTGCTTTATCCCTCTGACCTGATCAATACTCTCCACCTGCCGAGAGTCCAAAGTGACAAACCTGCTTAGACCAAATTCAGAAGCTCACAACTGATAGCCAAATGAACTCCTGAATTCCAAATGCGCAATCGGATCCAATCTCACATCAACGATGTGACCAAGTGCTGGGTAGCCAAATATCCGACGCCGACCAAAATCTAAAGCAGCTCCACCAGATCTAACAATATCTAACGCAGCAGTCGGCAACCTCATAAGATGGCCCAAACATGTCGAAGCCTGAATACCGAATCCACTGCTCGACGTCCAATGCCGATCCTCCTCCAGAAAGGAACGGCCCTCTAAATCTGTCATCTCATCACATCGCCCCACTGTCTCCTCTCCTCTAAAGTGTCTCCAACTGCCATGAGCTCGGCACCAATGCACGAAAGAACCCCTACTAGAACTAGCACGACGGGTAGCCTTTCTGCCAATACACCTCCTCCAACTGTTACGGACTACTAGGGCTTCATACCAAAGGGACTTGGTTGTAACTCATATATGCCTAGTACAATCCCCAACATAGGAAACAAAATAATGATTACCTCCCGATGATGCCTCCTCGGAAAGCCCCCCAATGCCTGACTGAACACCTCTAATAAGACCCCTCGGTCGGTGGATAGAAGTGCTGAACTCCACCGCGGTCTTCTTGCTCATCCCAATGTGCTCACAGGACTTCAATCTGCAGGTCATAGCAATCCTCAACAATCTGTGCACAGTATAACCAACAATATATCCCAGCACCAAACAATGCCACAGTCTAACCATAGAAGTCGTCAGCGCTCTATCAATTACCGTGCTCCCAAGCAGATAATACAAGTTACTCCTCCTGACGCCCTTCATAACAATCATGGACCCCGATGTGACCTTCAAGCGAGAATCCGCCAAAGTCACCCTATAGCCTGCTGCCTCCAATACCCCAAGTGAAATGATGTTCTTCCTCAGTTTAGGAACGAACCTCACATCAGCCAACTCCCGGATTATCCCGTCACTCATCCGAATCTGAACGGTACCAATACCACCAATAGGGCATCTGTGATCATTACCCATGAGAACAACATCCCCTCTTTCCAACTTCTGAAAGCTGGAAAACCAATCCCTTCTAGGGCATATGTGGTAAGTAGCACCAGAATCCAACATCCACTCGGTGGAGTCGGCAACATTAACTGACGGAAGAGCTGGGCACGAATAGCCCGAAGAATCTGAATCTGAAACATCGCCACTAGCCTTAGCAACATTCACCTCTGAAGCTTGAACAGCTTTCCCCTTATTCTTCATGGCTTGCAATTTTGAGCATTCGGCTTTCCAATGTCCATCCTCTTTACAAAAGGCACACTGATTCCTACCAATTGCAGGATGCCCCCCTCTAGACTGCGACCTCCTACCACGGTTTGGACTTCTAGCTCTTGCAACCATGCCCCCGCAACCGGCTCAATGGAAGTCTCATTGTCCTTCTTTCGAAGTTGATAGTTCACAAGGGCTGCGGTGACCTCACTATACGAAAGAGATGTCTTCCCATTAATAAGAGTGAGGACGAAGGTCTCATATTCCTCGTCGGGCAAGGAACTCAATAACAACAATGCTTTATCCTCATCTTCAACAATGACATCTACGTTCGCCAAATCTGCAAGTAACTTCGTGTAGTGGTTCATGTGATCACTAATGGATGTCCCCTTCTTCAATTGGAAGCGATAAAGCCTCCTCTTCAAATACAAACGATTTTTGACGCTCTTTGTCAAATATTTGCCCTCTAGGACCTCCTAAATCTTCTTTGCCGAAGTTTCATTTATCACATCATATTTTAGATCTTGAGTAAGATAAAACCTAATCACACCACACGCCGTTCTATTCATTTTATTCCAAACCTTTTCATCAACGTCGGTCGGTTTCCCGTCCAACTCCAATGTATCTTCCAAATTTTGCGCATTTAGCGCATCCATGACTTCGCATCGCCAAAGTCTAAAATTATTTGTGCCGTTGAACTTTTCCACATCTATTTTCATAGAATGTATATTCAAACTTTGGACGGCCTTCACACCAGAAGAACCCTCCCCACTTTTATCTTTTTCAGCCATATATCTCAAAGCACCCAAACAATTACGGTTTAAATAGGAAATAGATCCAACTTAAAAAAAGATAGAAACTTTACCACAAAGATCCAATCTTTATCACCAATCGAAACTCTAGATGAACTTCCCAACTGATCTATACCTCCAAAATGCTCAAGCGTTGCCCGAAGCTCTGATACCAATTGTTGTGCCTCGAGAACCCAAACCAATCGCCGAGAAAAGATAAACCACAACCAAAAATCAATAGCACAAACAATCAAACACCAGTTTTACGTGGTTCGACAAGATGCCTACGTCCACGGGGCAAGGAGGGAGGAGTTTTCACTATTAGAAATCAAGAGGAACAAAATAGGGTTACAATCTCTCACCAAAACCCTCAACAACTCACTCTTAATCTCTCCAATTGCTCATAGAATAAAAGCCCAAAGAAAACCCTCACAACCTGCTCAAAACTCCTGCCTTACAAACCCTAGAATCGAGTTTAGGTATTTATAGAAAACTCAAACGAAACGGGTCTGAAAAACAAACCCAGCCCAAAACCGCTACAGCGGTCAACCGCGATCCATCGCAGTCGACCGCGACGGTCGACCGCCCTCCATCCGCGGCGGTCGACCGACCCGAAAGCAAAAACTTCTGCGGTCGACCGCCACTGATCCAAACGCCCAGTACCTCCTGTGCACGAACACGGTCGACCGCCACGGTTGACCGCCAACCTGTCTGCTCAAAATCTGAACCTGAGCTCCATCTTCTTCAGAAGGCTAAGCAAACTTCAAAAAATACACATGTTAAAAGGCAATAGAACTACAGGGGTTCTATCGCCACCTCAAAATATCGCCACCTCAAAACATTACCCGACTCTTAAAGAGAAAAGCATTTCACTCAGTTGGTCTTTTTCATAAATAAACAACACTACAAGCAGTGCACCAACCTCTATATAGGAGAAAATTATATCAACTGAACACCATTGAAGAACATGTGTCACTTTCCACCCACTACCAGAGAGGAGCTGACCGTATAATATAGTACAGATCAAACAGAAGGACAGCATTATGCATACAACACAGTTGAGATTCTTACATACATATTATGAGACATAACACCATATAGAATGTTTTGCTCTTCCACCTACCAAAAGTTTCAGTTCTTGTCTCTTACTTCTTAAAAGTTTCAAGGGGATTAGCACGATTGATGTCGTATAATAGAGGTTGATCGATAGGTAGGCTCTGGAGGCTGAGACCTTCCTTCCTGAGACTGTTGACTACCTCCTCAAACAACAATCTGTTCCCGCCATCAGTGAAGTGCAGTCCATCCCTATAATAAGACTTTATTATTACATAACCCAGAAATACTTAAAAAGTATTTGATTATTGAAGTAGAGCGCTTCTAATAATAGGAGATATCAAGGCAGGAACGTAACAAAATTAAATATTGATACTAATAGTGACAACAAAATTAAATAAAGTTAATAGGGATAAGGAGAATAATATGCAATGATACAACATGGTTTGGCCGACATTTCTGCCACTAACAATAGAGAAGATTACAAAAACCTCTAATCTCACTCATCCAAACCCAAGTAATATACTCAATGAAACAAATATGAAGTTAAAAAAAAGAGTATTTCACTTGTTAGAAACTCTCCTTCCCCTGCTCTTTCTTCCTCACTTGCATTCACCATCCCTAAGCATTCACTTCTCATAGTGAATCAAATTCTCACGACCACCTCTCATTTTTCACATGGATTTAACAATAAACAAATGGGCTGATACCAGATATGAGCTAATAATAGGCTAATTATTGTTTTATATGTACCCAATATAGCATGATATATTGGCCGATATATCTTTTTTTAAGGTTTGCTGCAAAATGACATGGTCTTATTATGTTTACCACTTTTTAGCAATGTTTGGGTGATGTATCCTCGATATGACGACATATTAGCCGATATGTTAGCCAATATATTTCTTTTATATAGCTTGTCAATAAACATTATAGTTATATAAAATTTAATTAATGTTTTAGCAAAAATTACAGCCATATGAAATTTTAGCAAAACTCTAGTATGCTCTTTTCCCTAAGTATAAGTTTCTACAATCAGTTAATAGTCCTACTTATACTATTTACAATTTTGTATGCTTGGATTTCATTAAGTATATTTAGATTACATTTTAGTATATTATATTATTGTAGAGTACCGGTTGTTTTCTTTTAGTTAATGAAAAGTAATTAAAAAGTGGAAATCCAAAAGCCTTGTAACTGAATATGTATAATTAATGCCCAAAACCAGTTATAAACTCAAGAGCCATGGAAACCCTATTTCACCCAAATTATCAGTTTCAAAATATAAAAAAAAATGAAATCAAAGAGGGAGAAACGTTGGGAACAGAAGAAAGAAGAAGAGGATTAAGCTTCAAAAAGTTAGTGATTCAATTGTATGTCTTTACTAGTTAGTTATAAAAAGTTGTAGGAAAAAAATTACTAACCTAGATCCGGCGAGGGTCTTGCCGCCGACCGCTTTTGGTCACCGACGATCCCCGTCGCCCTCCTGGAAGAGGAGAGAGATATCAAAGAGAAAAACAGAAAGAGAGGGGAACGCGAGAGAGGAAGAGGAGAGAGACAAACAGAGAGAGATCAGAGAGAGAAACACAAAGAGAGATCAGAAGAGAAAGAGAGAGAAAGAGAAGTGAGAGAGAGATCTGGAGAAAAAGAAAGTGATAAATGAGAAAGAAAAAATGAAATTAATTAAATAAGCAAAATTATCTTGGGACCCTTAAAAGATTTTTAGTTTGTATATAGGTCCAAATGATAAAGTGGAAAGAAAAAAATTATGTTTAAATCCCTTAACCATGTAAGAATTTCGAATAGACCTAAGTAAAATGATTTATGATTGAAAAAGGACTGAAAAAAGTTACTGTTAGGCCCAAGTTCTGTTCAAAGAATGGTAGAAATAAATATTAGAAAACCCCCTAGAAACTAGAAATACTAGTTTTATACTCAAAATAGGAATTTTTAGTTTTTATGCATATTGCATATTGTATGATTATAGGTTTGATCGAGGAGTGACTCTTGGAGTACGATTCTCTAAATTGTTACAAGATCTTTGAAGGTGAGTAGAATTTTTCTCATTGGTTATTTTCTATTATATATTATTTAAATGATAATTTTATTTTTATATAGAGAAATGATGGATCAAACATGTTATTCTGTTCATTTATAGTAATTTTTAACAAATTTGAATGTGACAGCTATTTATCTTTTACAAGATAAACATTGTTTAGTATATGAGATTAATGAAAATATATCATTTCAAATTTAGTATTCAAATGCATTTATTAAAGAGTTCTATTTGACAAAAATAAATTATCTATTCGTTTAGATTCATGAATATTCTATTTTTATGAAATTGATATGAGAAAAGTTTGCAAATGTGTTTAAGCATTTATAATGTTTTTCGTATAAGTAAAAATTGTGAGCGATATTTTGAGCAAAAAAAAAGTGTTTTAAATGTTAAAAATCCTTAGAAGTCTACTATGGAGTGAAGTGATTTGTTTAAGCTTACCATATGGTATTGAATGTACCGACCAGTGTTAAAGTGATCTTTTTGGCAAAAGTGAAGTGGCTTTCGGGCAATCTATGATAATGCTAGGTACATTTTATCCTCGGATTGACTTATAGTGATTTGATGCGCATTCTCATGCTACTGGACTATAATTTTCGTAGTCTTAGTGTGATAACTAAGGAAATTTTGTAATTGTGAATTTAGATCGATAATTACAGTTTTAAAAGTATTTAGTGTTCATTCGTATTATTTCTTAAATTTGTGAATATTCTTTTATGACAATGTCACATGATATGCTTTGAAATTCCTCTTATACGAAATATTATTCATTTCTCAATCCTTCTTTTTGACGATAGCTTATTTAATTTTAGTATTGATAAATTCTTAAACTTGATTTATCCGCTAATGATAAGTTTTTTGCTCACTGAGTGTAAACTCACCCCGTGGTTTTTCAATCTTTTTCAGATGAAAATTAGATAGCTTTATCAAACCTTGGAGCTTTGGAACATGAGAAGAATCTTTTAGAGTGTTTGGTGTTGAAGTTATAGTTTTTCTAGTTATGCTGCTATGCATATGTAATAAGAGTCTTTTGACTCATTAGAGTGAACTTGTTATAATGTATTTTTGCTCTGAGACTTCTTTATTTGTCAATAAATCTTCTTTTAAAACAAGGTTTATTGTAATATGGAAGTGCACTGCAGGCTTAGCATGTGCTTGTGCACGTGTTGCCGTTATCATGCATCTCAAAATTAACTGCGCATTTTGGGGGCGTGATAATTATCAAGCACATTATATGACATTGACACTTCAATATTTACTACATATCCCTGATATTTTTCCTATATCCATTATCCACAATTCGATATGGATTTTGATCGCTCAATATTTCCGAAATTAGAAATTGAAAACCACTAGGCTAATATTCCACATAAAGAAAATGTATTAGGAAGAGAAACTTCATTTTGATTTGGCTTTTTAATAATCTTGTCAATTAACAAATCTCAACATAGTCTTGAATATAGCAAATCTTCGTTAGATCCTTATTGTCTCTCGACAAAGTACAAATGCCTAATGAACCTTGATCTTATCCAACTTCAAGAAGTTCGAGGTAATGCTCGAACTTACGAGAAGGTATAGGTTTCGTCATCATATCTATTAACTATGTTACCTGGGTACTTCTAACTTACGTTGTACTCATACCCAACATGTACTCATACCTGTATCCGTATCAAAACTCCTTAGACACTCCTTGCATACATATGAATACATTTATCTTAGCATATAGTAGTCACTTATGCAATATATGTTTTTAAGTTAAAACACTTATCATACACTTTATGGACACATATCCTACACTTCACATCCACTTCCTAAAACTCGTTATACATAGATCAGATTTCGAACTATTGTTTTAAAGGATCTTTTGGGTGTCTAGGTCAAAATGATGGTTTTCTAGTTTATCATTCTCATAATAAAAAAAAACATAAAAATATTATAGGAATTATCACTCTCACCAAATGTGAATGAAAATAATATTGTGTCCACATATATAACATATGTATATGTATATAAATATTTATTTAGTTGTGTCCACGTATCCTACCTTTTACAAATTTGCTATGTCACGTACTCGTACCAATACCGGCACCCATAGCCCTACCCATTTCCATGGTTATTTGTATTACCAATTTTCTCAAATTTGATGACTTTAACTTCATGGATAGATTAATGTCTACCATGTATGTGTTTGGTTCTTTCATGACTCATTTGATCGTTCACATAATGTAATGTTCTTTGGTTGCTAAAAGTATGTACACATGTACATACATACATATAATAAGTATGTATATATGGCTACAGACACGAAGTATCAGAGGCATGTCTTATGAATGTCCAAGGAAGTTTCTATCCTAATATAGGTGTCTATATTTACAAATCAGACAGCGTTCATGTAGATAAGTCCATAGAGATAATTACTGAAAATATCCAATCATTGTTCAATTTCCATCTTTGATCTTTGTTATCATAAGTAGGGTGTAGGTATAGAATAACAGGAAAATTTTGTGGTTATTCAAATAGGGATGTTCAGCCCACCTCCAAACTTGAGAAACATTAATTTGTAAGTAAATGCATTAGCAACCCAAGAAATGTCAAATATCTGATGTATTTGTAATGCAGAATTTTGACGATTGATCTGATTATCCAACTAGAGCCAATCATTTTGTCATTACTCAACTTTCACCTTCAAGGAACAAAAGGCTTGCTAACCTTTAATACACTGTCAAAGTGGTGACACATACTTGGAGAGCTAGAGAGAGACACTAATAAATCGATATCCAGTAATAGTTATGACATGCAAATTTCAGCCCAGGGTACCAGAATCAGAACATTTTGCCACAAATATTTAGTGAGAAAGGAGATGTTAAAGATCAATGATAGTACCCCCAAGACCTTCAACTTATATGTGTCTACAAACCTTCCTCTTATTAAGAGTCAACAGCCCCATTAACCTTTTTACGTTCTGCAGAGAAAGAAATTAGAACATAATCAATTTGCCGAATAGACAACCCAATAAGGTATTTGATCTTAAGTACGGTGGTTGAATGGAGTTTACAGGTATTGGAAATTTAATCCTTTCAGAATAAACTGCAAGGGGACATATCCACTCTTTGATGTCAAGAAAAAGAAATGAAAAAAAACAACAATTCTACTACCATAAGATCTTGACAGAAAATGCAATTAATTCCTAATGATGGTAACTATCAGTTGGTAATTTTGAAAATTATTCGTACCTTAGGAAAGACTTTTCCCACCCAAGATACTGTTGCATCTTGGACCAGATATCTATTACTTGAATTCCAGATTCTTTAGCAACTTCACCGCATGCCCTGGCATATGCACCAGCAGATTCATTAGTTCTGTCTGGCAGACCTGAATTGTCTTCTACATAAGGATTCCTGCACAAAATAAGATAATTGTAATTATATTTCTTATCCTAAAATAATAACAAAGCGTTCATATATGTCTAACTTATGCATAGAACCAACAATTTATCAGTTGAATTAAAACATACACAACTTCTGATCAATAATAGGAATGCAATAAAATAATGTTTAGAGCAACAAATGACATATATATGTTTTATTAGAACTAGAAAATCTGAAATGAACTCCCCTTTCCTTTGATTATGGTGTACTATGCTTTGAGAGGCAAAGCAAATAAAACAATGGGTTTCTCGCTTTCTTGAAAGAAAACTGCAGTTCCCTAGGTTAAACATCATAAGAAGATCTGTTTATTAATGATTTTTATTGGACATGTCATGACTTAGCTGTCATCTCAATTCTTTTTGAAATTGATGTGATGAATAATATCGAGTAAGCCATTTATGTATCAACTTTCAAGTCACATCTAGTGATACATGGCAGTAATTTCTAAGGATGCCCTCGACCCTATGATATTTTGAGCTTCTCCAACTGTTAGATGAAAACTAAAGCAAAAAAATGATCTATGTCACAATTCATTGCAATGATACAGATTTTGCAAGATAGCAAATGTCACAATTGACATCTTTAACATAAGGTTAAGGTTTATTTCATTGATCGATGACCATGAGATATAAAATATGAGTGTTGAGGAAAATAAGTCATGATACTGCTTAAGCAAGATTTTGGTTACGTAAGGGTATTAAATCTCCTATAATCTTCATATTGCAAATTTCTATTCTGAAAACAATTTTCAAAAGTGTTGTTTATGTCTTACATTTACATGGCTGTCTTTCCTATCTTTAAACATTAGCTTTAAAAGCCAAGCGATGAATGAGTATTAAATTATTTAGAAACCTAACACTGAAGATTTTCTTCTATTAAAAACATCCATATGCACCCTAACTATAGTTCTCTCTGAAAACGTACATAAAGCTTATATAACTAGAGTACTCACTCCACATAGAGTTACCTACCTTGATGAACACTTAAAACATCACTGCACCTGCCATTATGTGACATATCTATATGTCATTGTCTATAGTATTTTGGCCAAATATTGAATATTTGTCTCATCAATGTTTTAGAAAATTATTTCACGTATCAAATATTCATTCCAAAAACTTAAAAAGTCAGTCAGTTTCTAGCAAAGTACACACCTTTAACAAAAAAAAAATTGGAGCTGAAACATTTCTTTTTTCACATTATGCAATAGCTTTCATGACTTTAGAGAAGGGATTCATAAAACCCCTTAGTCTTTTATGTTTCTCTAATTAATTAGTTTTCATGGAGGCAAATTGTGAACCATTTTCTTGTCTTTGAGAAAGTATTTGACTCTATTAGTAAATTATTCCTCGTGGTACTGTACTTTGCTCATTTGTTTGGTAAATGATCCACTGATATGATTTTCTCATGTCCCAGTTTTGCTCTTTTTTTAATCCTTTCAATGGTTTGCAACCCTCACATTGAATATTGTGAAGGTTGTGCCAAGGTGACCCGCTATCCCTCTCACCTCTTCTATTTCATCATCAGCAGTATGTATCCTTAACAAGGCAGGACTACAGAATCTTCTTGCATATAAAAAGGGAGGCATGATGCACAAGGCTCTTACCATTTTGGGTTCTTGGGAAGGTCAGATGTATGCAACCTTACCCCATCATCTAGAGAGGCTGTTTCTAAGACTCAAATCCATGACCTCCAGGTCACAAGGCTTCTTACCACAGTACCAAGGCTACACCCATAAAGCTATCCAATATTCCAATGTACTTAAAACAAAAAGCTCTTATGCACAGACAATATTTATATATTAGCAAGAAGAAATTAACCTGTAAATAGATGCACAATTCATTGTTAGATAATGAAAACATTAGACCGTCATGTCAACTGATTATCTTCATAACAATTTATTGTATGATTGATATGATGGAAACTTCTTGCTCATCTTGCATAGTGTTTGCTACTTCCATTCCTAATAATATTGTATCTCAAACAGAGACTTATATTATACAACTATGGTAATGTCATAAATGTCAAAATACAGTCTTTGAGCCCTTTCCATGGTCGGTGCACCTTTTTCAGCGTGTCTTCAGGCCATGCAACAGACAAGTACGAGTTTGAGGACTATCTGGGATAATAGCTATGATGATCAAATAACCAAGATGTTACAAATATGATCTATCAAGCCAAAACCCAGTCGACAGGGAGGCAGATTATATTGAGCCAAGTTGAGCTCAGCCTGAAGCTTGAGTATAATTTACATTGCAGATGAAGTAAATGGTAGCATACTTCAGATGGTTAACTGAGAACCAGAGGCATAATGCTACAGCATCCTTTGTTAGCTTTGGAAGTTTGTACTTCAAGGCAGATTATTGAATCCCTCTTTACTTTACTCCATTCTGTGACAGGATATATTTGTTTTCTTTTGTTCTTCGCTCTCCCCCATAACATTTTCTATATACATGCGCACAGCTCTGCAGGTTTGATACACTTAGTTTCTGCATGAGAACATCTACAGTCATCTAGTCAATTTTACTCTATGTAGATAATTGCTCAAGGTTTTCTCGTTCATGCAACATCTTCAATTTGAGCTTATAACTTGTTTCTTCATCTAATTTATCTTCAGCTTTTTGTATTATTTTTTCCGTATCCCTTCTCAACTTGTTTCTGCTCCTCCTACCTTTTGTTCCATCCATCAGAACATCCCTCCTCAAAGTTACTTCAATATTTGTATTCATAGGTTCTCACCTTGACGAGGTTCTTCCTATAGGGTGCTCCATCTGATGGCTACCATGTGGTCCTATTTAGTGCATGCAAAATTTGAGATTTTGTCCCCATTCATGCCATCTTAACAATTCATACTTTCTTTTTATGGAAAATATTGTAGGGACCTTAGTTTATCACTTAGTCAATACATAAACCTGACAGAGATACAAATAGCAGAATAGAATACATTTGGTAATTTTTACGTGAGCCAATTGTTGGAAAGGCTGTCAAGCTGTCCTATTTACTACATTCAAAACATGAGATTGTCTTCATTCATGCCATCTTAGCAATTCATACTTTTTTGTGTGGAAATATTGTAGGGACCTTTATTTCTCGTTCAATCATACACCCGACAGCATAATAAAAAAGCAGAATACAATACATTTGGTAATTTTTTACGTGAACCAATTGTTCAACAATCAATGCATGATGTAGAAGCTTCCTTACGATAGATTTTCTCCATCTTACTAGGGCAACCAACTACCCCGGAAATAGGGAAACATCAAGAAAAACAATGTTCATACAAAGAGAAAAGCAATATACTGCAAAAAAAGTCAAACAAGATGCAAAGACACAAGGATTTACCTAGTTTGGCAATCGCCTAAGTCCACATAGAAATATTTTAATTTTCTTTATTCTAGAGACTATACAAAATACAACCTTTCTTGCATTCTTGAAGGAGCCTGCAATAAATCTGCTCTCAATGTCAACAAAGATCCTCACAAAGCCTAGGTTTGTTTCCTTTGTTTCTTCTCTGCCTCTCTTTTACAACATGCAACACTTTTGGTTTAGATTCTAACCTTAGACCTGGAAGACATGTATTTATAGGGTTAAGCCGAATACAACATCAAACAGAACTTGTAAGCTGAACAGGATTCTAAGAACACAAAGCAACGGGAAATAAGTATTAACGGATGATATGAGGCAGTCTGACTAGCCGGTTCACCGCGACCAGTCAGACCGACCAACACACTACCATATTTCGTTGTTCCTTTTTCTGCATCGTTTTTTACTCTTCCGACGTCTATCCATGCTGAAATACAAGGTTAATCCCAACGTTGATAACCACATTGCTTGAAGCATGCAGTTGAAGCAATAGAATGAGCAGACACGTCAAGGGCTCTACAAGTTTAGGAAATCGACAACATCATGGGGTTTTGATGGTGGTGGTTGTGAAGATGCAATTGATGAGAACTTGACAGATGGTGAGGAGGTGGTGGTTGTAAGGATGTAAGATGAAAAATCGCTAACGACATGCATGTTGGAAGTCTTTGAAGGTAGTTGCAAGTAGTATTCTAAATATCGCATGTTAGTGATATATTGCATGGAAAATTTCCATATCAGATGGTAGATATCGGATATATATCAGAGATAGTTAATAAATATCACATTGTCATATCGGATAATGTGTATACACATGTATATCATATATCATAGACGTTCGTACTTGATGCATCCAGAGAACGAAACTATGGGGAAAGGTGGTACTTTTTACAAAACTTTTGCGAAAGGATTTGGTTCCAATTGAGCTCTGATTCTTCTCGTTTATTATTTATATAGGCAGATATTTGTATGGTTTAGACCTCATTAAATGATAAATCCAAAACAATCTTTTAAAAACAAATAAAAGTCCATATCAATATTGTATATTTGCACCATCTCAACAATTTTTTGAGGACGAAATAACACTTGATACATCCGTAGATTCATGACATATCGCTCAAAATTGCCGAAAAAGCAATAAAGGATATTTAGGTGATATCATTTAGGGGGCAAGCCTCGAGAATACATTAAGTGACTTAGGAATACCTTGAGAGACCCAAAGATCCCTTAAGGCCATGTTTCGATTCGGGATTTGTTTTGTCCCCGGATTAATTTAACTCACTATGGTCATGTGTATAATAATCCAACAAACTATAGTGCGAAGTGCGATGAAATTTAATATTCGATTTGTTATTAACACCTATAATACTTATTTCGTGTTTGGAACTTGCCCTTATAAGGCCATATAGGATTAGGGCATGGTAGCAAATGCCCAAGATGCCCTTCTACCTCCAAGTGATGATTTCAGCTAAGTCTCAATGAATGTTGGCACAGTTTTGGGACATTTTGGATATTTCCCAATGCAAAACTATAATTGCACAATACCACAATACAATTCATATACCAACATATAAATACAAAGAAAGCAAGTATTTCTGATTCAATTTGCA